TGGAAGCCCCCCTTGAAGAGGTGTTCTGAGCCCTGTTGTATGAGTTATTTATTGGCACATAAAGCTTCTCTTCATGACATAAGAAGACAGCTTTTTCTTTCTGGCAGAAATACTTTCTGAAATTTAGCACAGTATACAAGGGTTTCAACATTTCTAATTACCAAAATGCCAGAGATTTTGAATCATTATATAAGGTCTATCTTCCAAAAGGAATATATGATAAATCTACCATTTAGCCTTTTCAAAAGGCATTAGGAAGTGCCATAATTCACAGCAGAGGTGTATGCACAGAGAGCAGAGGAGTCTGACTGAGCAAACAGAAGTCTAGAAGCCAATTTATGACTGAGCAGCTTGATCTGTCCAGAATTAGAATAAATACCCCATTAAAGCCATGCTGTCAGGCTGTAACTAAAGTGGAAAGCATGCTGGGACAGAGCTCTGCTGCTTCTCAGCCACACCAAGTCCAAAAACACTGAAAATTTCTGGGTTTTCACAGAAACCTAAAGGGTTTTTTGGGCTGTTTGGAAAAGCCATGCTGTTCATATCAGCTTTTATGGCCACAGCAGTTTTCCTGTCTTTTCAACAGGGTGCCTCTGAAATGTGGATGGGAACAAAAAATGCCCTCCCTGAGGACTGAGGAGAAAGGGGCTCAGTGGGGATCTGGGTGCCATTCACTGAGGTTTGGTCAGCCAAAACCAAAGCAATTCCTCCTGGCTCCCATGGGAAACCACAGCAGCAGGAATATCAGTATTAGCTCCTCTGAGTCCCTTCATGTGTTTCAATCTCCTCCTGCAATGAAGGCCAAGCCACCAGAGCTGTCACTAATTTTTTAGTTCCTTTCAACAAACACAGACCGAACTATTTCAAGAAAAATCAGTTTTCCCAGTGCAATTGCCAGCCTAATTCCCAGCTATTGTCAGGGGTTTCCTGAGGTGAGGTGTTCAGGGAGAAGTTTCAGCTGAGCTGAACTCCCAGGCTGGCTGATTTTAACCTCCCCAAGCACACAATAACTGCTGATTCAAAAAGCAAACTCTTGAGCTTGTTTCAGTAAACACAATAATTTGCCCAGTGCTTTCATAAAAAAGTGATCAATATCCTGCAGATTCCTTTTTGTAATTCAGGTGATTTGCCAGCTTCAGCCAGGAAAATCTAATGACCCCATCCTTCTGTGGAAGAATACAGCAGTGCCTTACAAAACAGATCATAAAATGATAATTATTCAACTGAAACACTGAAGTTACTTTCAAAAAAATCAATCAATCATGATGAATCCAACAATGAACTTACTTTTACTCTCTTTTTCTACTCTCTTTTTTTTATTATTAAAAAAATCCAAATCAGGACTATTTTGTAAAGATAAATGTTGGCACGGAGTCATAACAACTGCATATTTTTATATTGTTTTCTACAGAAATTTTTTGCTGTTTCAATTCACACACACAATTTAAATTATCCTGTGTCTAAAACTTTACAAGCATCTTCCTGGAAACCAGAACTTTCTGTTCTGAAAGGTCTGGAGGCACACTCAGCTTTCATCTGAGGATGCTGAAGACAATCTAAAAAGTCACCCCACTGACTGACATTTCAGAGGGCATTAAACCAAACCTGTGAGAATGTCACCTGTGGGTCCATGGGGAGCCTGCAGAGAGTACACACTGCATTTTCTGGAAACAGATAAAAGCTACAGAATATTACTTATCTCGGTTTAAAAAAAGAATTGACTGAATATTTATTCAGAAGTAATTCGGCAAAGCCAAATTATTTCTCTTAAGGTGAGAGATATTTAAAATAATGTTTCTATTTTAGTCTTTTTTCATCAGCCTAGGATAAGAGATTTAGAATTACACTTTCCTCCTCCTGATTCATGTTTTAACCATCTTGTTTGTTTGTTCCTTTGTTTAAACACAGCAATCCCAATTTGAATGCAGAATTTCCCTTTCAAATTCTGGAGCCAATTGATCAAATAATGGGCTGGGGAGAAATTTCAGAATTTCTCCAAACAAAGTGGAAGTGTGAATATATCCCAGAGATCTGTGAGGTCAGTGCACATTCTCCCCCTCACATCACTCCTCCTCCAGCCTTTGTTATTTCTAACCCCTGCAGTCTAACACATGAATTATCCCATTGTACACCCCAGCCACTTGACAGATTGTTTTAGTGAAACTCTTTCCTTGCACGCTGCCAGGAGCACTTTAACAAAAAGGCTGATTAGTTCTTTAAGTTCTTTGTCCCAGATAAACAAACTCCAGAGCAAGTTTACAGGATCACCCATGAAAAAACCCCACAGGGGCTCTTTACAGCGACAGCACCAACCACAGCAGCCCAAGGTGGCAGCTCAGGAAGAAAGGATGATGATGATGCTGATGATGCTGATGATGCTGATGATGCTGATGATGCTGATGATGATGATGATGATGATGCAGCAAAATGTTCATGCTTGAGGGCCTTTTATTTAATGGCACACAATTATTAAGACACTCCTTAACAAAGCTCCTTGAAGGAAAGACTTGGTTGTTGTTGTTTGTTTGTTTTACATGCCATAAATTTTTGGTAATAAAATGTAAAAACAATTAGATTTTTTTTTTTTTTAATAAAACCTCAGTGTCATATAAAATCTGTCAGTGGCAGATGCTGGGTACATAAATATGTGTCTATGTGCTCTACCTAAGAAACTGCCTACAAAACTCAGCAGACACACAGCAGACTCCCAAATCCAAGTGTGCATCTGGAAGAAGTGCATTAACTGCAGTGAGTGAGCTCTGAGTCCAGGCACCAGAATGAAACAAAAATTTGCATTTCCCGCGTTTTCAAAAACATCAAAGCTGCTTGGAGAGTGATTTTAATGAATTGCATCCTCCCATCCACCCACAACACAAGGCTGGTAGGACAGCAGAGAGGGGAAAGAAAGGTAAAATAAGGAATGGAAAAGCAGCAAATAGATCCTGAGGTAGATTGCAACTTGTGGGGAAAGAAACAATATTATCAAATTTCAAGGCAGGCAAGGATATTTCAAGGCACAAAGTGCAAATTAAAAAAAAAAAAAAAAGAAAAATATCAGCCTGACTTAAATGTCAGCAAATTAGCTCCTGGCTTTGCTCTGCTGTCTTGGTTGCAGAATTTTACCTCAAAATCTCTCAAAGATATTAGTACAGTTTAAGCACATGTTAAAAAGAAAAAAAAAAAATCAAATAACCTCAACAAAAATGTGATGGCATTTGATGACATGCTGCACTGTTCTAGGTGAGATCCAGCCAGAATAGCTGCTGATTTCTGGGATAAACTGCCCCAGGAGAGCCAGGGCAATTCCTGCAGGGCTGAACCACCCAGACATCCCCACGCTGGAATTAACTGTTCACTAATTTCATGTTCAATCTCAGCAGCCCCTGGAATTGTCCCCATTTTCCTATTTGATGCACTCTAAAAGCCAGAGTCTCCTCTGATTTGAGCCCAGTGTATAAATGTATCCCCCTTTTTTTGCAAATAAATGGCACAGAATGATAAAAAAGCCAGATTTGGAAAGCAGAGGAATATTTTGGGTTTTTTTCCATATTCCCTTCAAATTCTCTGTCCCTCTCCCAGTACTGATTGTGATTTTCACAAGTGCACCTCTGCTTGCTCCTCACCCAACTCCTTCCCCTTGCTCCTGCTGCCTCAGACCTAATCTCTGTGCACTCCCAATTCACAAACCCCTATTTATGAAATATTCACCAGGACTGTCACAGAAATCACCTTTCTCACTACAAAATTGCTGATTTCCTTCATTCCACATGGGCCTGCTGCAAGAAAATATTGATTTCCCAAGTAAGCAGCAGAAAAAGGTAAGTTACACGTGGTATATACAATACTCTGCTGCAATTTTAATCCACTTGGCTTTATGTTATATTGCTGGGATAAAATCCAGCCCCTTTTCTGCATAGGATCAAGGCCTGCTTTCTATTTCCAGGTATACCAAGGTTTATTATGGCTTAAAGAGACAATGTATCCATGATCACATTTCACCCCACATTGAAATTATTTTTTCCCCTTTATATTCCTCTTCTATCCCTTTAATATATTAAGTTTTAAGCTGGTTTTATTTTATTTTTCTTGGCTTTGGGACTTTCTTGTCAAATGCACCAGCTGTTCTTGTACCATGATTATATACACTTAAGCATCACAAAAAAGCAAATTAAACTTAGCACACAAAGCCTTTTGCTATACAAGTTTTCTCAAAACAGTCTTTGAGGTTGTTTTATACTGTTTGTACAAATACAATTGAAATTTTTTTGTATCTCTCAGTGTAACCCTGTACACAACCTACCCTGGAGGTCTCGAAACACTGTGGCTCTAACATGCAGCTACCAAAAGAGAGAATGATTAATTCAACAATATCATCTTGAGCTCTGCTGACTTCATCTTCAGAAGTCAAATATAGGAAAAGATCCACACAAATGCAAAAAAAGTGAAGAAAAGTGCAGAGGGTTTCATGCAGTGTTCAACATTAAGGAATAGATTATTTTCTTTTAAAAGGGATTGTTAAGGAAAGAATACTTGTGCTACATAAATAATGATGAACAGGGAAACACAGCACTTTAGATATTTGTACAACACAAAATGAGGTGATTCATCAAGAAGCAAAATGTAGCATTCTGCAAAGTGAATCTAAATGATAAATAATCATGCCCTGTTTTAAGGCAGGGGTACTGCTTGCTGTTTTCAAAGTTTTCTTTTTTAAAAAGTGTCTTCAAAATTCAGCCTGAAAAGGTGAGGGTCACTTTGCTACCTCTGATTTATGCTTTATGGGGCACACAGATTTTCTAAGTCCAGAATGCTGCAACTTACTTGTCCTTTCCTAGACAAAAACTCTTGCCAGGGTAAGAATGGCTGGAGAAACAGAACTCCTTCACTGAACTGAGAATTATTCAGCAAAATTATTTTCAGATATTGTCAATGACAAATCATTGGCAGGCCAAGGGAGGATCCTTTTTTTTTTTTTTAAATATGCACTAAAATGCACCCACCTGCTGTCGAATTTCTTCTTCCATCTTCACTGGGGACCCCAGCTCTGCAACCTGCTTGACACCTTCACTGGCATATCCCCCATATTCCCACAGGATGTAGTTCTTGGAGTGGGAGCTGCCAATGATGGCAGACCAGTGGTTGGTGCGTCCTTCCCGGGGAGAAAAAAAAAACAAAACAAAAAACCAAAATAAATCAAACCACCATCGAGACAGCCTCAAAGTGCAATTCCTGATTTGTAATCGAGTTTCCAAGTCCTCACTGCTGAGGATTTTGTATGCTGTAATTCTCACTACATCAATGCACATCTTTAAAGTGTTAAGAGCAAGCCAGTGACTGACAGAAATTGAGCATAAAGCAACCCCCAAAACAAACAGGCTTAGAATAGCTTTTCCTCACCAAAAAGCTCACTTCAGGAAATTTTAATTTTAAGTTTCTACTTCAAAAATTTTTGAGAAGGAAACCTGCAAAGGAAGACTTCAGTTTTAAAAACAAGTTTTTTCCTTACTGACAGCAGTGAAGAAATAAATTTTTCTGTATTCACTTCTATATTCACTGAGTTTTCTTGCTCAGATTTCTCATAATGTAAGAGCTGTAGAGCTAAGCAAAAGGATTCCCATTCTTGTTTCTTGTCTTGTTGAACAAAACAAGAAAAAAGAGAAAAAAAGTTTAAAGAAAAAGATGTTAGAGAAGTTTGATGGACTTGAAAAGAGAATTGAGCAGAAATAAGGAGTCAAAGAAGTCCCACAGTCCTGGAAATACAAATGAATTCACTTAAGTGTCAAGTAGCCTTCTGCAGATATATGGGCTTAAAGGAAAAGGGTGAGAAAATGAACTGCTCACACAAGCAGACAGCCTGGTAACAAGGCAAAGACTGCAGGAGATGAGAGAGTCACAATGATGGAGTGAGACAATATTTAACGTTGCACTCCAAAATTCCTTTGCAATGTGAAAGGTAGAGAGCATCAGTAAAACCAGCTGCAAACTGAATAAATGAATGAAAAATGAATAATGAAGTAAATAAAAGGAATGCAAATTTAAGACGTGAGAGGTGGAACAATGAAATTGAAAAGCACAGTGCAGAGAATTGTATAAAGTCAGATGCAGCAACCTAATCATGGGAGAGTAGAAAATAGATTAGAAATAAAAAATGAACACCAACAGCAGGGGAAAAGAGCTAGAAAAATGTAGGAAGCAGAACAGATAGATGAGGGAGATGGCCCAGCACAGCAGCAAACACAGCCTTCATAGCTTCCCTAGCCCTCAACTTGGACCAAAATACACTTGGACAAAATACACCAAAATAGCAAAATGCTGAATTGCAGCAGTCCTGGTGTTTTCAGAATCAACTACAGCGAATCAGTAACTGAGACCTGTGTGTGGAAAAAGCCAAAACTGAGCCTTCCCCCCCCACAGCTGGAGAGACTGCAATGTCAGGAGCTGGCTTCTTGCCCTGAGATCTAGCAATTGTCCCTTACATGTGCAGTGACACCCTGGCCAGCCCAGGGGATGCTGGCACTCAGCCCCGGGGATGGCAGCTCCAGCTTTACCCATCCTCTCTTCCCAGCTCAGGGGTCTGGCTGTCCCCCAGCAGCAGCTCACCTGAGACACAGCAAGGGACACTGAAGCTTTTGGAAAGAGAATAGTCCCTACAGAACAAAAATGTTCCGTTTTTGGAAGAGGTTCCACAGAAGCCTGAGTGCCTGCAAGCCTTTAGTCCAAGGGATAAGGGATTGTTCCCCGTGCCCCAAAGCTTCTCTCCCTCCCAGCCCAGGACAGGAGCACTGGTGCCTTTGCAATCAGAGCACAGTTCCACCAAACAAACAAACAAACAAACAAACAAACAAACAAACAAACACCAAACTCGAGCCCTCTCTGAAGATACTGGCTCTGCAGAGAGAGCTCCTGGCCACCCACCTGCCCAAGGAGCTGCTCAAAGTCCCACCACACACCCTGAACTTTCCACCAAACTCTGCTGCGTTTGCTGATGTTTTACTCCTCACCTCAAACCCTCCATTTCTTGTGAGAACAATGAGACAACTCGGTGTTTCCCAAGCTTTTCCCTCTAACCACCACAGCAACTCCTGTGCCTGGGGCACAATCCGAGCCCAGAGCTGTTTGACATCCAGCCTCACTCTCCAGGCTGGAGACAGCAAGCACAACACGGACACATTTCCAGTGCTGCTATTTCACTTCATTCTTGCAGCTTTGAGCACTTTCTCAATTTCTCAATACACTCATATGTGTATCAAGGTATATATGTATCACAACACGAGAATTTATCCTCTGACACGTTTCATAGGTGTGCTCATATCGTATCATGATGAAGAGCGTGTGGATTTCTCTTGTCAAAAAGGGGTGCTACCCAGGGAAAAGAAATACTTTGCACAAAGTGCATGTTCTTTAGGGTTTTTTAAAGCAAATCAGGAGATAAAGAAAGGATGCAAAATATAAAGTTTATGATCTGCTTTCTATTGCAACCTTATTGATGGTGAAAGAATAGAGCAGAATTTTGTATGTGGCAGCTTGGCAAGTAATTAGTGATTTACCATAGTCCACAATGAATAACATTTTATTGTAATGTAATTACTGCACAAGCTCAACATTTTTAAGAATAATGCCAATGACTAGGTTTCATTTTTAACATCACTATATCTGGATGAGATCTTTCCCTCAACTTTCAGAAATTTTAATGCAAAATCTTATTAGCTGTTATTGCTGGAATTAATTGTGTAAGTACCAAATGGTACTTACTTTCACTTTTCCAGTTTAAGTGAAATATTGATTTTAAATTTTTTTTTAATTTAATTTTTTTAAGATTTTTAATTGATAAAATTTACCATTTTGTAACTGGGGAGAGACAGCAGGCAAACTATTTCAACCTGCTTATTTTCCATCATGCAGCCATACTCTTCATGAATTCACTGACTTGGATGTAAAAGAAAAGGCCATTTATCCCCAATATTACATCACAGTAACTTCACAGCTTTCAGTCCTTTTCTCATGGCCTATTTCCAGTCACCAGCTGAATCCATGCAAATAGTGCACATAAAGTTCACACTCAGCAGATATTTACATCATCCAATAGCCCAAACGAGCATTCCTGCAATTCCTGGCTTTGCTTATTTTATCTCCTCTCTATTTTGCTGACCAATAGTATTTGAACAATGCTGTGCTTCAAATTCAACACAAGCAACATTGCTTAGGCTGATAAAACTATGAGCTGATACAAACAACATTTGAGTTATATGAGGATATTCTGACACTGTGGCAATAATAATATTATTTTTAAATCAACATTAAAAGTCTCTATAATAAACATCAGCCACAGAAAACATAACAAAGTTTAAGGACCTGTAAATGTGACTCATATTCTTAAATACTTTCCTGGCCTTTTTGCCCACAGACTGGGGAGTCAGTAATGAAAGACCAAATGCATAATACACCATTTTGTAACTTCAGCATTTTATAGGTACCTGGGTAACTGCAGAAAGCAAACTTGCAACAAAAGTTCTGATTCTGTACTTCAGACTCTTAAAAACCCAGACAGGCCAAGTTCAGAAGGTGTTTTTTGTCTGAGTATTCAACCAACAAAGACAAAGACAGAGTATTCTTAGATCTATACATACAATTCATATCTCTGGGCAGCAAGATTCAGAACTCACCAAATTTATCCGAAATAATTCAAAATACTTTGAAGTAAAACGAACTAGGTAGATTGGCATGGCTGAAAAATCAAAATATTAATGTGTTGTCTGTCCTTTGTGGCTTTTGTCTTAAAATCTCATTTCCTACCCCTACATTATAAACCACTCTAAGCTTTCAATCAGAAAAAGAGGAAGGAACCTTTCTCCCTACAAAGATATCTTGCAAACACAATCTCACACACACCTTAGCTCCAAATGTCAGGCAAATCAATAGGGTGTAGTGGTAATGTATAGTGCAGAAAGACCCATTGATTTTCAATGCTGAGAGTCAGCAGGATCCCATACATGTCATAATTTACACTGCTGAGCTGTAAATAAGTGATGCTGTGTCCCACAGGCACCTCCAACCCTCCCCAGGGCCCCTGTGTGGTACAAGCAAAGAGTGATACTCACGTGGAAAATCTTTAGGATGTGTTTTTTCTGACCAGTTGCCATAAAAAGTCAGCCTGTATTTGGCAGTACCACAGGCACAACAGTCTAAAATCGGTTTTTCGGTCACACCTTCCGAGGCTGAGTCTGAAAAAGCATCAAAATACCCCCTGAAAATGGCTCCAGCTCCAAAGCAGTGAGGACAGAGAAGCTGCCACAATAAATACTCCAGGAAATAAATCTGAGTTAAACATGGTTAGTTTTTTTTATTATTATTAATTTAAGTTTACTGTTAGACTAAACAACAACCTTGAAATATCTGTTCCATATTTTTAAGTGGATGAAATTATTTAAATCCACAGTTTTCAATTAGAGGGCATTAATATTTCAGTTATCTTCTGATTCAAATAGGGGCTTGTTTCTGCTTGTTGTCTGATAAGGACAAAGCTCAGCTGATTTCAAAACACAGCGGGCTTAAAATTTCTGAACAAAGTAAATTAATTCTCCAGTGGATTGCAATAACCAACTGCAACATTTAGGTTTAAGGAAGGATGAAATAGCTCAGGATTCAATAACAAAGTGCTCTGGAAACCAAAGAGTATCACACAAAGGGCAGGTAAAAAGTTACAAGTGTCACATTTAGGGGGAGGCAAGGAAGATTGTATGGGATGGAGTGTATGTGGTAAGGAAGAACACAACTGATTGGAAGATCCCAAATCTGAACCTGTCCAAGACCTCCCAATTTTAGTTTAGGACAATGTGTTAAGAGAAAAATGCAAAAGACAGTGAGGAGGTGAGAAAGACATTTTACTTTACCTTACCTTGTTCACAAATTTTTTTTGTGAGAGAGCCCTCATCTTGAAAATAAATTATGCGCTTCTGCACAATACTGGCTCTATAAAGGGGAGGAAAAAAAAGTTTGAAATATGTTTATTCCTTAAAGAAAAAAGAAAATGAGTGATAAGTGACTGCTAAGACATGGTTATACTTCCCTGTACTGACAATACAATAGGGGATTACAGATAAGATACTTTTATTTCCACTTGCATTTTAATTTCATCACATTTTGCAGAAACCTGAAATATATTTACCTCTAGAGAAGTGGTCATAGGCATACGGTGAGGACCTGTGCTCTTGAAATTCCTGACAGTCAATTGAGCATATTCAATATTTCAATCAAATCTTATATTAAAATACTGAAGTTGTATTCAATTTCAGCCAAAAAATAGCACAGCTCTAGTGAGCAGCTGTTCATAGGAAATTACATGGCATTCTAAAGAGATAAGTACTTCTGATATATGACAGCAACTCAGTGCAAATATCACGTAAAACAGAAGTTAGAAAAAAAGCTGGCATAAGGTAAAGTCTTTGAAAGCAATTCACAGGTTCCAAAAGACAAGCTGCTTTAAAATTAATTAAATCTGGAATATGTTATTGAGGCTTATGGTTCAAACAAAATGTAAATTTCTAAGCCTCGGTGCCTCAGTTCCTCAGTTGAGGGGGCTGGATATATTTAGTGCCAAATAAACTTCAATAAACTTTAACTCCCTTCTTTGACCACTTTTAACTATAACAATTTCATTCACATGTAAACTTTTTACTTCTTTCTATAGGAAAGCAGATTTTGGTTAAATTCAAGGACAATTTATGGCCAGAGAGCCTCCTGAGGACACAGGCTTTGGGAGCTGGCACTCTTCCTTGTTTACCAGTACACATTCTTCTAACAACATTTTGTACCATCCCCTTGTATTTAACACTCTCAACAGCAAGGGCCAATTTCTTGTCTTACTTCAGCATTAGTAAATAATTATCTTAATCTTTCTAGAACTATTCCTCACTCATGACAGGTGAGGAATGAAAGAGTGAGAAGAAAAGTGACACTGTGCTTGGATGTGTTGTTGCAGCCATTTAACCTTCCTTTGACGATGTCCCACCCATAAAATTATCAAAAATAAGATGCAGTTTTGCTGTGCTCTCTTTGCCAAGATGCAAGGCCAGTGTAGGAGAGGAAGGAATCCTTCTTTTCACCTCAAAAAGCAACAAAGAAGTTTTGCAAACCTCTTAAAGCTACATCAACCTGGAAAGGGTGCAAAAAACTCTCAATCCTTTCTGAGAAATCTTTTTCAGGGTTTCTAACTAGAAATAAAGGGGGAAAAAATGAAACAAACATAGCTACCAGAAGTACTGCTAGGAAGGAATAAGAGCCCAATGGCCAAGCTCCTCAACATTTCCAGCCTTCAAACTGAAATCCAAAATCAAATTTAAAGACTTTTTGGATGCTACACTGCAAGGAGACAGAAAGTGGGGGCACAGGAAATGCCACGCAGGTACAAGGAAAACCTCTCTCACCATGAGGATAATCAGAGAGATTTAACCCTGGATTGGACTGCCTGGATAGTTTGTATAACACCCATCTCTGGAAATATTAAAAATTTTATCAGATCCATGCCTTGGCAACTTGCTCAGTTGGTGTTCAGCACCTCCTTCAAGCAGGAGAATGGACTAAATGACTTCCAGAAGTCCCTTCCAATCTAAATTGTTCTATTATCTTAATCCAAACAAATACAAAATCAGCCGTTTGATAAAGATCTCCATTCTGCAGATAACAAAGGGAAAACGGGTATTTGAGAAGCAGTCACCAGTTATTCCAGAAAAAAAGAAAATAGAGAAAAATCGTTTGAAACCTGAAGTGCACTTGTATTATTCTTTTTGCTGCAGTTAGCTTGTCACTGTAAAATGTCAAGGGAACAGTTCCTTTTCTAATAACAAAAGCTTCACAGCTTTCTGAGTCATTGTCTCTTCAGCTGTGTTTGAAACTATATGGAGAGCCAATAATTTAAATGGGAGGTTTTGTACTGATTCCAAATGCACCAGGATGGGCACGTTATATGGCTGCATAAATATCAAAAGCAGGCACAGAACTCTGCAAATACTCAATCATAAATAATTTTAAAATATTAACTGTTTTAATAATCAGCTTCAAGACTGAACACAGAACAAAACATCTGTTCAGAGTATTTGCTAGCTTTTATAGCTACATTTCCCCCCCTCCTTTTTTTTTTGACATAATTTTTATTCTTCTATAAAAATTCTGATCTTTGGACTGAGAATTCTTTCCTTTGGCTTCGAGTCTTACAAAAAACAGCTAAAAATGGAATGATGAACTTCTAGAGACAGGCAAGAAAGCTTTTAAGAATTTACACAAGGTACACATCTGTTTAATTTACATAAATCCTTCCCACCACTTCAAACATCCAGTGCTGGCTGAACTTAATGGGAAAGGAGCAATTCAATGGCTTTCCCTCCTATATTAATATCCATAAGTGGATCTTCAATTTCTTGTTTTTCTTGTTGACTTATTTCTCTCTGACTATCAGAAAATGATGGGTAAAGGAAAAAGGAAATAAATTTGACTCAAAAAAACCCATTTGTTTCTCATTTTCTTCAAGGCAAGGCTTCTGGATTTGTGTTAAAGCTTTGCCATTCACCAGACTAAGGAGCAAAACTGTAAAGTACAGCATTTCTACACCTGACAGCACCTGCTTTAATAAAGAAAACCAACCAAATGAATTGTCCAAAAAGTGTCATTATTTTTGGTTTTTTTGCTTCTCATGTGAAGAGGAAAGAATATCTGGTTGCTTCTGTAATATTTGCTTAGGCAATACCACTTTGGAATGTCCCTGTCCTGGCTCAGTTTGGTTTTGAAAGACTTCCATGGAATAAGAGAGCCCCTGTGCAGCCCAGCTCCACAACAATTGTACCACCCTGCTGTGAAAAGCTCTGCCAAAGACACAGAAATTGCATTTGGGATATTAAGAAACAGGAAATGTCATAAACCAGAAAAAATTCAGGCCAGCCTTGGGAATGCTCCAGTTTATACCAGAAACAGAGGAGTCAGTTTGGGGCATTTTCCTTTTTTTCTTTTCTTTTTTTTTTTTTATTTTATTTTTTTTTTCCTCCATAGAAACGGCTTTAGATTGGTTTCCTCACTCCTTTTGTCAAATCCTAGCATGAAAAGAAATACTCTTATTTTAAATTACCTGTGTGGGTGTAGTGATGTGACAAAAGAAGTAAGGAAGAGGATTTGTAAGAATTGTTCCTATGACATTTTTTAAGCTTACATCAAAACCATTAAGTACAATATTAGAGTTCCATTTGAATAAAACAGGTTTTGTTAGAGCTAGTGAGGCTACCCCAAGTTTTACTTGGATGTTGAGAAATAATAATAATTTTCTGAGGTGCAGCTAAAACACTTTTCCTGCTCTACACTACCTGTGAGTTAACCTTGTCTTGCCCTTCTAGCTATCAAAATTATTTTCTTTAATTATTTCATGCCTCACTGATTTAATTACAGTATGATAAGTTGTTTCCCCACCCAGAAAGCTACTGAGAACAATTAACAAGATGTTAAGTTTGTTTTCTTTTCTGGGTTTGTTGGGTTTTTTTTTTGGAGAGAAAGAATTTCTAAATATACCATTAACTTTAACACTAGAAGGTGCTGTGAAAACCACGAGTTTACATCTGCTGTAATTTTGTTGATGTTTCTGGGTTTTGTCATTCTAATGCATTATTTAGGACGTTCTAATTTTATTTCCTTCTGTGTTGTCTTTAAAAAAAAGCCAACCCTGTGTTTCTGACAAGCACTTACAAGGTCAGAGAAAGCACAAACTCCCACAAGTTTGCCAACCACATTTACTTCCTTTTCTAATATTTAGGTGATTTTTATTTAAAAGAAATCAAAATTCCTCTGCAAGCCTATACAACCCTTTAGCCAATAGATATCCAGCAATTTTTACACTGACAGTATATTTGACAAGCACATTCTTCAAAATAATTTTCAATTAGCAAAGTGTGCTGTCTCAGCCTGGACAGGCTCCATCTACACCAGAATCTCAGCTGCCATCACTGACGAGGGTCAACATTCTAAAAATTTGCAGCAAACTATTTCTTTTTTAATGCATAACTTAGAAGCTGAAACAAAAGATGCATTTTTCATTGTCATTTTGTGGGGTTTGTTCATTAGTTTATTTTAAGTGTGTTGTTAACACAGTTTAAACAAACCAACCAGAGTTGATATTTGATGCTGGATAAAACACAGGAATATTAAGATGAAGTTTACCAGTGTTGCCATAATTCCACATTTACATCCCTGCACAGGATGAGGATCTTTTCTCCAAGAGATCAGCCCCATGAAAAACAATAAAACATGTTCACCTCTAAAAACTTCAGTACATAAATAAGCACCAGAGCATCCTTCTTCAGCTTTGTTTTTTTCAACATTTCGCTTGTACTGCCAGAAAATACAATTCAGAGAAATGCCACAGCAAGAGCAAAGCTCTCTAAAGCTTTTCTTACACATTTCTTCTTGCTTCCAAATCCTTTTGGTGTCCTTCATGTCACACTCGGGGCTGCCACCCCACCCCTGCACTTCAGGACTAATTTGGCCATCATATTCAATATATGAATATAATACAGCAAAAAGCTCTGGGGGAAACCACAGCTATACATGCTGCTATCTTCTATTTTTCCTCAGAAAATCTCTCTGTTCTTTGCTTGGATGGCCACAGGACATAAATATTAAACTAAAATCTTCAGGATAAAAAGTCATACTGACACGATAATTTCTGACAGGAACTCTACACCTGTTATTTGCAAAAGAAAAAAAGAAAAAAAAAAGAAACTAAAACAAAAAAGCAACATGACATAAAGCCCATTGCTGTTCATGGGCTGTGTCTCCACCAGGGATTTTGATATTCCCCACTTTTTGCAGCAATCTCTGAATTTCAGAGCTAAGCATTATAAATTATACTGCAAAGGAAAGTCAGAACAGATTGGATAGCACTGAGTGTTTGGAGGATGGATTTATTTTGTTATTCTAAGTAGTGCTTTTGTAGA